CTAAATGATTGCTGAAGGAATGACTTTCCTGATCAGTTCATGTTCCTGTGGTATATCAATTATACTAGAATAGGAGCGTAGACTCCTTTTTCTGTATTGATCCCTTTGAGCTTTAAGATCTATTAAATCAAAACTATATTCGTATATTATTTTGGGATTTTTTTTCTAGCTTACAAAGAGATTTTTTTCAACAACAACAACCACACAAACATATTAATTTTGGTCTACTCTAGTTTCTATCCCCATTTGGATGACCTCAACAAAATAAGCCAGGCAGGTTTCCATGATGCCACAGTACTAGAGAGAGATTCCAGGGCCCATAGGTTACTGCATCATTCCACTTTACCCCAGAAGAGTCTCCAAACTGCAGGTCATTGCATTGCATGACCTTGGGAAAAATATGCCAACTGTACTTTGGGCAATCCAGCCCTGCTTCTTTGGCAGGTCACTATGCTAGCCAGGATACTCTAGGAAATGTGGTATCATGGAATTTATCAGGATACAAATACATTTTTTTTCAAAAATTCAGTTTAGAGAACTTACTATTCCACTTAGCTTGACATTTCGAGAAATACTCATTGCCTACCCATCCACCCCCAACACTCAGTATGCCATTTTGCATGCAAAAGTGACAGTGCAGTGAAGTGGATAATGTGCTGGCATTGGAGCCAACAAATCCTGGGTTTGAATCTTGCCACTGATACTTACCATCTATTTGACCCTGAGTAAGTCACTTAATCTTTCCAAGCATTAGTTTCCCTCATCTATAAAATTGGAATCATTACACCTCTAGTACATGGGGTATTTAACTTTGAATCCATAGAGCACTGCTCCATGGATAGATTTCTGAGAGTCTGTGAACTTGGATGGAGGAAAAAATACATCTTTATTTTTTATTAACTTCCAATTGAAATTTAACATTTCTTTTAACTATGATTTTTTAAATCTAATAAGGGGACTATAGGTTTCACTGGATTATAAAAGAAGTTCAGGACACAAAAAAGTTTAAGACATCTTGCTATCATAGAGGTTCTTGTGAGGCTTAATTGAGATGAGATGATGTATACAAAGCAATATTAGTAATAAGCTTATAAGCTCCAAGTGCCTAGCATCCAAAATCATAAAGAAAAGATTATCCCAGCTACAATAACACATAGATAGTAAAATGGCACATGACAGGAGACCTCAATTTCTTTTTCTACATTTTGAGTAAATCTATCAGAAAGATAACCAAAAGGGAAATAAGGAACCAAACAATTTCCCAGAGAAATTAGAGTTAAAAGACTTATTTCATCTTCCGAAAGGGACAGCAAAAGAATATATATTTCTTAGTAGCACATATAATGTTTACAAAAATTTACAATGTGCCAGGGCACAGAGATAATGCAAACAAATATAAAAAGGCAGAATACATTAATATATAATTTACAGATCATAGTGCAATAAAAATCACAACTGGTTCAGGGACCACAAACAAAAGATCCAGACCAAATAGAAATTTAACAATGGAATCCTAAATAGCAATTAGGTTAAATAAAAAATCATTGAAACAATAACTATAAAAAAGAAAATGATAATGACAAAGGAACAAAGCAAAATTTCTGGGAAGCAATGGAAGCAGTCCTTGTGGGAAAAATCATATCCTTAGAAACATAGATTAACCAAATAGAAAAAAGTGAAGATTAAGGAATTGAATATATATTCAAAACTTCAGAAAGCCAACAAATAAACAAATCTAAAATACATATAAAGGAGTAGATATTAAAAATTAGAAGGGAAATAGATAATATTAGAAATAAAAATGATGAATAAAACTAAAAGCTGTTTTTTGAAAAGATTAATAAAATTGATAAACCCTCATACAATATGATTTTTAAAAAGAGAAAATAAAATCAATAAAATATCAAATGAACAAGGCAAAATCACAGTAAAACCAGAAGAAATAAAATGAATAATCAGAATGTATTATGCATAGTTATATGCTAACAAAACTGAGAACACAAAAGAAACAGCAAAATACCTTCAAAAATATAAAATACCTAAATTATCAAAAGACTAGATGGAGAGCTTAAATAACCCAATCTCAGAAAATGAAATAAATCTAGTTGCAAAAGAACTACCAAAGGAAAAAAACTCCTGGTCCTGATGGACTCACAGAATAATCCTTTCAAACTTTTAAAGAACAATTAGTACCCAAACTTCACAAATTACTTTCCAAAAAAGAATGAGAACAAAAGCATCCTGCCAGAATCCTATTATGAGACAAATATAGTCCTAATACCTAAACCAGGGAAAGATAAAACAAACAGAGAAAATTATAATATCATTAATGAACATTGATTCTAACATTTTAAACAAAATCCTGTCATACAGATTGCATTTATTTATTCAAGAAATCATTCATAAAAACTAAATGGGACTTATTCCAAGGATGCCACAATGGTTCGTAATTAGGAAAACAATCAACATAATTAATCATATAAAAAACCCCAAACATCCAAAAATACATGATAATTTCAACAGATACAGAAAAAGCCTTTGAAAAAAACACAATACACCTTTGCACTAAAACCTTGCAAAGTATAGGCAGAGAGGGATCTTTTTAATATACTGAAAAGCATCTATCTAAAGTCAAAAGCAAGCATCATATGAAATGCGGATATACTAGAAACTTTTCCACTAAGTACAGGACTGAAGCAAGGATGCCTACTCTTCCCATTATTATTTGAGATAGTTCTCAAAATGCTAGCAACAACAAGACAAGAAGAAGAAATTAAAGGTATAAAGATAGGTAAAAAGCTAAAACTACTCCTATTTGCTGCTGATATGATGGCTTACTTGGAATATCCTAGGGAATCAGCAGACACTGATTGAGCCAGTCAGTAGTTTCAGCAAAGTTACTGACTACAAAATAAATCCTCAAAAAATCAATAGCATTTCTATATAATAATCATAAAACACAAGAAACATAATCAAAAGTGAAATCTTATTCCATATAACTACAAAATGCATAAAATATTTGGAGTTTGACCTACCAAAACAAAAAAAACCCAAACTTGTATATATTCAATTAGAAAGTACCCCTTAAAGAAATAAAGAACAACTTAAATAGCTGGAGTAATACTCAGTGTTCATGGCCAAGCCATGTCAACATAATAAAATGACATTACTACGAAAATTAATTTATAATTTTAAGGCTATAATAATCAAATTACCAAGGGTATACGTTTTAGAGGGCAGCTAGATGGTGCAGTGGATAGAACACCAGGCCCTAAATCAGGAAGACCTGAGTTCAAATTCAGCCTCAGACATTTATTAGCTGTGTGACCCTGGGCAAATCACTTAACTTTGTTTGCCTCAGTTTCCCTCATCTGTAAAATGAGCTGGAGATGGAAATGACAAACCACTATAGTATCTTTGCCAAGAAAACCCCAAATGAGATCAAAAAGAGTCAGTCATGACTGAAAAATAACTAAGCAACAACAAAAAATATTATGTAGAACTTGATAAAATAACACCAAAATTCATTTGGGAAAAAAAAAAGATCAAGAACATTAAGGGAAATGATGAAAAGAGTGAATAGCACTCCCAAACCTCAAACTATATTATAGTATAGTATAGTCATTGAATGTTAATAATGGAAACTGCAAGAACATCTTAGTGCATTCACATTATGCACTTCTGCATTGCATGAATAAGAATTCACCACTAAGGGCCACCAAATATCAAAGTTATACACGTAACATAATTAAGGACTTCAAAGGATAATGATACCAGAAAAAATAATCCCTAGGCTTTTGGTTAAAGGTTAAGATGGCAATTATATAGACATCTATTTATACATTCTTTAACCTCTCATCAAATTTCAAGAGATCATTAACCAGACAAGTATTTGGACTGGAAATTTAGCAATAGGTTAGGACATTCTGACAACCTACACATGTCTGCATTTTAATCTTTTCCATGGTGCAAATGGTAACTATGCATGAGCAAAGTTTAAAGATGCATGCTTTTGCTCAGGTTATTAGAAAAAGATTATATTTATTAACTGGCAGCTATGCAAATATATATATTCATATATGTATGTATATAGTAATTCTATTGTGTTCAACCTAATGATAATAGCTCATCTTCCCAGTTACCCAAGTTCACAACCTCAGTATCATCCTTGAATCCTCACTCTTATACCACATGTCTAATCTATTGCCAAATCATGTTGTATCTCTCATATATATCCCCTTCTCTACATGAAAACAGCCACTTGAGGGAACCTTCATCACCTCTTGCCTGGATAAGCCAATGCCTTCTACTTGTTCTCCCTTCCTCAAGCCTCTCTACACTCCAATCCATTCTCCATGCAGCTGCCAAAGTGACTTTTCTAAAGTGTAAGTTTGACCATATCATCTTCCCTCAGTGCGCTCCAGTGTTTCCTCATTACCTCCAGGATAAATTATAAAGCCTTCATTTGGGCTTTTAAAATCCTTCACAACCTAATTCCTTCCTACCTTTAAAGTTTTCTTATACCTTACTCCCCTCCACATCCTCCACAATCAACTAAGTTTGTTTCCTTGCTCTTTCTTACACGTAACGTTACAATTCCCATTCGAGCGCCTTTGCAGTGGCCATTTGTCACACTCGGAATCTTCTACTCTTTTCCTTCTGCCTCTTAGTTTTCCTAGTTTCCTTCAGGACTCAGCTCAAAGTCCACCTTTTGCAGGAAGCCTTTCCTGTTCCCCCTGGCAGCTCGTGATGCCCCTATTCTGTATGCATCTTGTATGTACCTAGTTAATTACATGTCATCTCCTCCATTAGAATGTCAACTTCTTCAGTGCTAGGATCATTATTGTCTTTCTTTATATCTATTTTCCTTTTTTTATGTTTTGTATTGGTGATGGGTTTTTGTGTGTTTAAAGCCTATTATTACCCTTCTTGACTAAGATTTTAGCCAATGTTTTTGTCATAGGCAAACACTTCTAGGGAAAGGAAAAGGTGCTTCTTGCCTGCACAGCCCAGAGGTAGTCCAGACGTAATTTCAAGTCCACCTGCCTGGCATGAAGGGCCAGAGCACAGGAAAACAGCAAAATAGCCAATATGGGTTCATATCCACGGAGGTAAAAGGTGCCACCCCTTAGGAGAAAAAATAAGCTCAAATTAGTGATTGGTTCCTGAGGTCAACACTTCAGCTTAATATAAAAGAAACTTTTTGAGTAATATCATAAGTGTAGTTACTCTGGAGATAGCTATTCCTATAGATTATAGATAGAATCTATTCTCCTTAATTCAAGGATTCTAATGTTTTTAAAAGTCATCCCTTGTTCCACTGGTTTAACAGTTTTATCCACATTGAGTTTTAGGTCATTTTGTGCTTAAAAGGACATACTCTGGTTAATTTTCTTTAACATGGAAAAATTTGGTCAGTCAGAATACATTTGTTAAGCACCTACTATGTGCCAGTCACTGCTTAAGATCACTGATTTGTTCTTTTAGAATTTAGAATATGTTGGTGACAGTGGAAGAGGCCACCACACTGATTGATTACAACTTGAAAATTGGTTTTGTTGTTTTAAAAATGTAGGTCTATTTTGGGAAATGATATTTATGGTAAAGCAGAAATATAAAAGACATTAAATATATTAATTTTAATAAAGAAACCTCAACCCTTCAAAATACATTTTCTTCCTTATCAGTATGTCCCAGTTCACTTTAAAATCATTCAATGTACTGAAAACAAAATACTCTTGACATTTTTTCCTGAAATATACTTCTCTAAGTATAACACTAGAGTATCAATAAAGCCATTGCCTTTTTTTCTATTTCAATTTTTTCACTAAACAAAAATATATTTTCTCACCCTCTTACTTCCTTCCCCTCCCACCGTTGAGGAGGAAAGAGAACAAGAAAAACAAAAACAAAAACAAAAACAAAGCACCTTGTAACAAATATGCATAGTCAAGCAAAACAAATTCATGCATCGATCATGTCCACGAAATAAATTTACCAGTTTTCACCCTAAGTCCATTACTTCTCTGACAGAGATGGAAAATTTGATTCATCCTTGGTCCACTGGAGTCCTTGATACTACCTTGATCAGAATTTTTAACTGAAAGACTTAGAACTCTGATCAATTCAGTGACTAACCTCAATTCCAGAGGACTTGTGATGAAGCACAGAACCAGCTTCCAGATGGAAAGGTGATGGACCCAGAGTACGTATTAAGCCATATTTATTTTTTTGGAGGGGGAAGGGGGAGAAATTTGGATAATAAGGGAATTTGTTTTGCTTGATTCTACATGTCTGTAATTTGTTTTGTTTTTCTTGCTTTCTCACAATGCAGGGGAGGGGAAGGTGGGAGAGAGAAAATTCAGAGCTGAAAATTTTTTAAAAATCTATTGTCTTAAGAGTTAGAACTATACTGGAATTATTGACAAATGGCAGATACTCTCCAAAGGGAACCATGAGACACCCTCCCCAAGTGATATTCCAGTAAATTCACGTACCCCACTGCTTTTCTGTACCCACTGAACTCCAAAACAAGTATATACAAGACTGTAACCAAAAAGAGAAGGATCATTTTTGGCAATGAAGAGACACGGAGAAATATTGCCAGTGTCAAAGTCCCCACAATGCAGGAAAGGAATGCGTGATGGGCTGTGTCACAGGGCAGGACATTCCTTGTCTTATTCATTCCTCCAGAAGAAATAATCACTAAGGATTTGCTGGAATTAGTGTTCCATGACCAAGGCATGCAGCCCACCTGAGAGAGTAGGAAGAAAGGTGTATAGAAAAGAAAACCTTGTAAAGTAATAATCCATTTTGAACACACACTACCAAACACAGCCCCAGTAGCTTATCTGTTAAAATATTTTAAGTTTAGAATAGGCATCTAGCTGTAATTGATCATTTACAAAGCTCACTTTTCGTATGGTTATAATGAGTTTTACATATATTATCTCATTTGATCCTTAAAATAATGATGTAAGCTTGTATATCATCTGTATTTTACAGATGAGACAGGAAAAAAATAATAACTCATAATTTTCTAGAGCTTAAAGATTAACAAAGGACTCTTCTTTCAATAACCAGGTGAGACAATAGGGCAAATATCATTATTCTTATGATCTGATCCTGATCTCACAAATCAGGAAAATGAGGCTCAGGTAGATTGATTTTCTCAATGTTTCATAGTTAGCAAATTTTTCGTAGAGTATATCCCTCTCTATTGTCCCCAACCCAACACATACCCCAACATACATATAGAAACAAGGATTGGTACCAGATACCCTTTCCACTCAGTGAAATCTTTGCTACTTCTGGGACATACTTATACTATAACATTCTATCGGCTAACTTTCTGTTCTTTCTACATGAAAGCCATGGTGGCAATTAGCTCTCATTCCTCATCTTTCCTCCAGAGGCAAAATAGGGCAGAATCTACTGCTTCTGTCTTACCTTGTTTATTGTAAAACTCACAGAGGTGATATTGGAGAAGATTCACTACAAACCAAGATTCATTTTGTTTTGTTTCTTTATAAGGGGTTATCGAGAAAAATGAAAAAGGATCAAATTGGTTAGACTCTGCTATGCTAAATCATGAGGTAGGAGTTTACAAAGTTGGACAAAGTTGAATAATCTAGACTATTATGTGTGCGTGCATGTATGTGTATGTATAGATGCATACATATGTATATATTGATCTTCAAATGAAATAACTAAGTCCAGATTATTTGAACATATTTTAAGGCATCATTTCAATGAAATTCTAAGATATCTTCACTCCATCCACAAAACAAGCATTCAAAGACAGTTATTTAGGTACACATCAAATACTCAATGCTTGCTGAATTGAATTTAGTTTACTCAGATATTTCATCTCCCCAACACAGTGTTTTCCCCTTTCAGATTACTTTCCATCTACTCTGTATATGTCTTATATGTATCTATCTTTTTACAGCTATGTTTTCTTCCCTACTAGAATATAAGTTCCTTGAGGACAGGGAATAGCTTTTATCTTTCTTTGCATAACCAATGCTTAGCATAGTACCTGAACCATAGTAACATTTAATAAATTCATGTTGGCTGGCCAACACTCTAACTGTAATATTGGGGATGATTAATTTCCCCAACTCTTCTATCAAATAATTTTGCCTCAGCTCCACCCCTTATATTTCTTATGGGCCTTTCTCAGACAGTAGCTCAATCAATGTTGACCAATGACTGAAATTGAAATTAATTACATAATTTTAAAAGAAAAGGGCTAACATGTTATCATTTGAGTGGAAGATCCCAGAAACTAAAGGAGTCTTAAGAAAGGATATCTAGGGGGCAGCTAGGTGGTACAATGGATAGAGCACTGGCCCTGGAGCCAGGAGGACCTAAGTCAAAACTCGGCCTCAGACACATAACACTTACTAGCTGTGTGACTTGGGGCAAGTCACTTAACCCCAATTGCCTCACAAAAAAGAAAAAAGAATGAATATTTAGCAGAAAAAAATTCCATTTCAATAATAAGGTTTTTCTCTTTTTTCATTTTTACCCCCAGCTCTTTCTTTAAATATGTGTATGTATATGTTATATATGTATGTGTATATAATATTATGCATATATTTGTACATAATATTATACATTACTATGTATGTATGTAGGTGTATATAATATTATACATATATGTGTGTATAATATTACATATTACTGTTCTCTATGACTGGGGCCTTAACCAGGAATTCTGGGACCTGGGCACAAACTCAGTTTGAGGAAAATGTAGTACACAGAGGATTTTTCCTCCTAGTCAAGTGCTGTTATACCTAGAGAGAGGATTGCCAGTGTCCTGAATATTCTGGCCCCAGCCCCTGAAACATGGCCAACCCCTTAGGAAGATACTGGTTTAGGGTGCAGTTGTGTGGGGATGGTTCTTTCCAGGACAGGGGTAGAAATCTGAGACACAACGCCTGACAGCAAATGACCCTGAGGCATGGGGTGTGAGACCTCCATGGGAAAGAAGTAAATTTCCCAAATCAATATTAGAGCCCTGTGGTGAATGCTGGTCACCTCACCCTCATTACTGATCCATCCATAACCCTGCTGTCCCATGGGCCAACAAGGATGGAAATAGTGTCACTGAGGCCATGCCAATATAATGCAAAAATAATGGATTGAAAAAATTTAAATGTAATTAGTTAACTGGTTCTTTTGCTCAAAAAGCCTAAAAAAAATTTTTTTTATAGTGTAGCAATGTAATATAGTTGAAATAACATTGGAAATGGACTCACTAAGGATCTGAGTTTTAATCCTGGCTTGGACATTTACTATGTGACCCCTGGGTAAGTCACTTAATCACTCTGAAACTCTTCCTCATATGTACTACCTTTTTACCTCATGGGGTCATTGTAAGGAAACACTTTGTAGACCTTGAGGTACTATATGAATGCCAATTATTATTCCTTGCAGATTTTTTTCACTTAATTCACTTTTTTGGACTTCTTGAGGATAGTTTTTGTGCCTACTCCATTGATACTCTTTGAGCATATAAAAGTTTAAATCAATTTTTAAAAATATGACTGACATGTTCCCAGCCTCTTTATTTCTTTGCTGTCAAGTTAATCCAATTTTAGAACAAGAAAAATGGGATATGCATAAAGAATGAACTTCAATAATGCTGGTGATAAGGGACCAAGTATGATACCTACCATGTAGGTTTTCTGTATTATAATAAGTCCTACAGACTTGATATGCACGTCTACGTATGCTTAGGGAGAGGGTCTGACCCACAGTATAACTGAAACTATGCCATTAAAAAAACACTTTGAAGTAGGGATTAAGATTTTATTAAAGCTTTAGCATAAAATGTGATTTTCAGACATCTGCCAGTGAAAGAATCTCAGGTTTTAATTTGCTTTTATTTCTATTATTTACTTACATAGAGGAACTCAAGATATTTGATGGGATTTAAGCAAATTGAAGGTTGTTGTGAGGTAGGTGACAACAAAGAAAATGAACAAAGCATTTTAAAGTTGCAGAATCTGTGGAATGGAAATATGCCTCGCTTACAGACTCAGAGAGAGCAAAGTGAATTTGAAATAAACACTGTGACTTTCACCTAAAATTGTAAGTTTTAGTGATTTTCATTATTCTGGAACTCTACAAAGAATCCAGAGTCTGAAGTTGACTCCACAATAGTCTAGGTAGAGTTCAGTATTTGTGTAGCAGTCTGAGCACACCTGTAATACTGCTAATAAAATTCATGGCCTTGAATAATAAAAACAAAAACAAAAGCCAGTGTTTATACAGCACCTACTGGGTGTCAGGCATTGTGCTAAGTGTTTTACAAATATTATCTTATTTGAGCCTCACAATAACCCTGGGAGGAAGGTGTACTATTGTCTCTAATTTATAGTTGAGGAAACAAAAACATGGAGAGGTTAAATGACTTGCATAGTGCAACACAGCTAGTAAATATATGAGGTCAGATTAGAACTTGTCTTTCTGATTGTGCAGTTTACATCACTGTGGAGGAGTAATATTATTTTGACAGAACTGTGAAGATGTTTCAATGGCAAAATATTAATTGCATATAGACGAGCTAAAAGAGACCACCAAGATTCCCTACTTCCTCATTCTTCAGATGAGGAAACTGAGTCTCAAAGGCATTGGATGATATGCCCATGGTCATAAAACTAGTTAGTGGCAGAGCCAGGATTAGGACTCAGACTTCTGACTGTACAGTGCCTTTTTTTTTTTTTAACTATACAACAGTTGCTTCTAATTATCAAAATTTGGTCATGCACATCCTTTGGGATTCTTTAGAAAGAATTAAAATTATGTCCTAAGAAGTGATGCCTAAAAGCCAGCAAACATACAACCACATCATCTAATGGTACAAAGACGTGGCTCCTCATACCACACTTAGGTGGTACAGTGGATAGAACACTGACCTTGGTATCAGGAAGAGCTGAATTCAAAATCAACTTTAGACTCTTACTAGTTGTTTGATCCAGGAAATTCATTAACCTCTGCTTGCTTCAGTTTCCTCAACTGTGAAATGGGGATTATAATATCACTTACCTCCCAGCTCAAATGAGATAATGTGCATAAAGAATTTAGTACAGGGTTATTGTGGGGATCTGGTACACAGTAGACACTTAACAGATGCTTATTTTCTTCCTCTTTTCCCCTTCCCTGTATGCATATGCAGCTTTGATTGGCTTCAAGAGTTAGGGTTAGAGCTGCATTTGTGTTTTAAACACACACATACACTTGTACACACACATACACACACACACACACACACGCACATACACACACACAAAATCCTCAATATAAAAAGAAGAAAGTGAAATTCCTGCCAACATTCTATTTACCCCTAGAATTAAAATGTGGAGAATATTCTTCCCATCTTCCTACTCATTGATATGTCACGATGTAATGGAGTGATGATGATGATAACAATAATGGTAGCTAACCTCTACCTCATAGGGTTGTTATAAACCTTGAAGTGCTATATAAAGCTATTATCCCTTTTTTACAGATGAAGAAACTGAGGTTAAGAGGTTATGACTTGCCCAGTCATGCTGCTAGTACACATCTGAGGTAAGATTTGAACTCAGATTTTCTGACTCCCAGTCCATACACAAAACCTACCCATCTGGCTTGTTTTCACTGATATTTCAGACTGTGGAAATGCCTTCTAAACCATTATGTATTAACATATGTTGAGGATATTTTAGCCGTGAGTGCATTTTTATTGTAACTCTTGGAAAGTTGGTCATCTACGGATGATTTTGATGGCAAGTCTTCATGAAGATATTCCGTTGACCAGGGCTGTTCCTTTCCTTAGTTTTGCTGAATTTAGAGTTTACAGCTAGTACATGCACATTAGAGGAAGATTTGTTGTTGTTGCTCAGTCATTTCAGTCACATCCTCCTTTTTGTGACACCATTAGGGTTTTTGGTCAAAGATATTAAAGTGGCTTGCCATTTCCTTCTCTAACTCATTTTACAGATGAGGAATTGAAGCAAACAGGGTTAAGTGACTTGCCCAGGGTCACACATCTAGTAAGTGTCTGAGCCTAGATTTGAATCATGAAATGAGTCTTCTTGATTCCAAGCATAGTGCTTTGAAAGATGCACGCTCCTAAAAATATTCTGGAAACGGATGTAGGCCTACATAGGTAGATCCAAATGTACAGTACTGTTTAGGGAGTCAAAAGGCAGAAATTACAATTTGTTGTTTATTAAGGAGTCAAAATATGTTTAAGAAAATAAGACCTTGGGGGCAGCTAGGTGGTACAGTGGATAGAGCACCAACCCTGAAATCAGGAGGACCTGAGTTCAAATCCAGCCTCAGACCAAACACTTGACACTTACTAGCTGTGTGACCCTGGGCAAGTCACTTAACCCCAATTGCCTGAAAAAAAAAATAAGACCTTAAGAGTATGCATCTTTCCATCTGTTAAAACTCTATGTTCAACTTTAAAATTGGGCTCTATAGTGGTTTGACTAGAAGCTACTAGACTTGAAGAGTTAGTGAAAATGTGCAATTCTATTTATAACAATATTGCTGAAATTCTGTCTTTGCATTAGAAAGTCAAATACTCACCACACATCCTTGAGCCACAGAGTAAAGTAAAATTACGATGAAAACACATAAAACAGTACGAATTTGAATTGTCAGGCACCCTGGAAAACACTGAAGAAACAAAAATATTGTTACTCTTGACAAACATTATTTTAATCACATTTTAAAATATATTAAAAACACATAGAAGGAAACCAGCATTTCACATCTTTCTACCTAGTCTCCTCCATTATGTAACTTCCAACTTTCTGAGTTCTTCTATCCCCTGTTTCCAAGGACATACATTTGAAAACAACAGTGTGGTACCTTGGAAAGAACAACCACGGAGATGAAGGAGCAGCATTCAAATCCTAGGCCATTCATGTTCTACCTGTGTGACCTTGGGGAGTATGTTTCATTGATATTTTTTGTCTTTGCATTTTGTCTTTATCATTCCTCCCTGTACCTCCATTCCCTCTTTCTTGTGACAAGAAAACAATTAAGCAAATACATTTGTTGCAAAAAAGAACTTGTTAGATAATATCTGCAATACCCTGTATTAGTAGCCCCTGCCTTTCTTCTGTAACAATACTCTTTTCCAGGATATTTATCATTTGTCTTTTAAACTCAAAACTCAACTTCCTTTCAGGGATCTTTTTATTTACACTGTTGTTATTGTGCATATTGTTCTCTTGGTCCTGCTTATTTTCCTTTGCATCAGATCATATACATCTTCTAATGATTCCCTATCATTTCTTGTGGCAAAATAAGTCCATTATATTGTAACCAGAAGCTCAAAGCCCATTTGCATAGGTCTCTCCTCATTGGTGGAGGCTGATAACTCAATGATGTGCAACTGTGTGAGGGATAGAGTTGACAAGAGCTGGTTTCTGACTTCCAGTTTAGAGAGAAAAGAAACATAGTACTAGATTCTCTTCAGGGAGAAGTCTCTGAGGGGAGAAAAAGGCTCTGGAAAGAAGCCAACATCTCTAGGAGCTGGCACTTCAATCGTGTCTCTGTCACCAGTTGTGAGCAAATGAATTTACCCAATGTAGAGGTATGGTTATGAAGGCTGGAAGCCAGGAACAAGGCTAGGGAGGAAATGAAGGCCATCTTGGTCTCCTCCATAAAATGGTGGCCCCAAGAAGAACACCACAATGGGAGAAAGAGATGGGTCTTACAGAGGAATATTCCAGGTTGGAAGGCACAGGAAGGGTTGTATATTCTAGACTGCTCAGGGAAGCTCCAGGTTGATACAGAGGCAGAAGCATATTTGTTTTGTTTTGTTTTAACCATTCCCTATGTGTGACAGCTTTATATACAATTCTTTATTCCCTATGCTATGAATATTTTGTTAGATTGTTGTTCAGTCATTCAGTCATGTCTGACTCTTCATGACCCTGTGGACCATAGCATGCCAGGCAAATACTGTCTATGGAGTTTTCTTGGCAAAGATACTGGAATAGTTTGTATTTACTACTCCAGTGGATCACCTTTTTTATTTCTTTTTTTATTAATTTATTTTGATTTATCAATAATCACTTCCATATGCTTTTGAGTTTAAAATTTTTCTCCTCCTTCTTCCCCACCACCCTCCCCAATATGGCACACAATCTGATATAGGCTATACATTTACATTCATATTAAACATATTTTTACATTAGGCATGTTGTAAGTAAAAAATTAAAACCACTAGGAGGAACCATCAGAAAGAGGAAATAAAACTCAACAGAAGAGAAAAAAAAAATAGCAATTCGACTTCCATAGTTCTTCCCTTGCATGTGGATAGCATTTTCCATCACAAAGCTTCTGGAGATGTTGTAGATCCTTGCATTGACAGGAAGGGTTAAGTTTATCAATATTAGTCGTCACATAACGTGGTTGTTATTGTGTACAATGTTCTCTTGGTTCTGTTCACTTCACTCAGCATCAGACCATACAAGTCTTTCCAGATTTTTCTGAAATCAGCCTCTTCATCATTTCTTATAGCACAATAGTATTCCATCACATTCATATACCACAACCTGCTCAGACATTCCCCAATTGATGGGCATCCTCTCAATTTCCAATTCTTTGCCACCACAAAAAGAGCTGCTGTGAATATTTTTGTATATATGGGTCCTTTTCCCATTTGTGTGATCTCTTTGGGATATAGCCCTAGAAGTGCTATTGCTGGGTCAAAGGGTATGCACATTTTTATAGCCCTTTGGGCAGAGTTCCAAATTGCTCTCCAAAATGGTTGGATCATTTCACAACTCCACCAACAATGCATTAGTGTTCCAATTTTTCCACATCTCCGACATTTATCATTTTCCTGTTTTGTCATGTTGGCCATTCTGATAGGTGTAATGTGGTACCTCAGAGTTGTTTTGATTTGTGTTTCTCTAATCAATAGTGATTTAGAGCATTTTTTCATGTGACTAGAGATGGCTTTAATTTCTTCATCTGAGAACTGTCTGTTCATATCCTTTGACCATTTATCAATTGGGGAACAGCTTGGATTCTTATAAATTTGACTTAATTCTCTATATATTTTAGGAATGAGGCCCTTATCAGAGAAACTGGTTGTAAAAATTCTTTCCCAATTTTCTACCTTTCTTCTAATCTTAGTTGCATTGGCTTTGTTTATACAAAAGCTTTTCAATTTAATGTAATCAAAATTATCTCTTTTGCTTTTCGTAATGTTCTCTATCTTCTGTTTGGTTATGAATTCTTCTGTTCTCCATAGATCTGACAGGGAAACTATTCCTTGCTCTCCCAGTTTGCTTATAGTATCAGCCTTTATATCTAAATCATGTACCCATTTTGACTTTATTTTGGTATATGTTGTGAGATTTTGGTCTAGGCCTAGTTTCTGCCATATTCTTTTCCAGTTTTCACAGTAGTTTTTGTCACAGAGTAGGTTTTTGTCCCAGAAGCTGGGGTCTTTGGGTTTATCAAATAACAGATTACGATAGTCATTGACTACTGTGTCTTGCATATTTAACCTATTCCACTGATCCACCACTCTATTTCTTAGCCAATACCAACCAGTTTTGATGATTGCTGCTTTATAACACAATTTAAGATCTGGAATGACTAGTCCACCTTCCCCTGCATTTCTTTTCATTAGTTCTCTTGATATTCTGGACCTTTTGTTCTTCCAAATGAATCTTCTTATTATTTTTTCTAACTCTATAAAATAATTTTTTGGTAGTTTGATTGGTATGTCACTGAATAAGTAAATTAGCTTAGGTAGAATTGTCATTTTTATTGTATTAGCTCAGCCTACCCATGAGCAACTGATGTTTTTCCAATTATTTAGATCTGACTTTATTTGCGTGAAAAGTGTTTTGTAATTGTGTTCATAGAGTTCCTGGGTTAGTTTCGGGAGGTAGACTTCTAAATATTTTATAACGTCTACAGTAAGTTTAAATGGAATTTCTCTTTCTATCTCTTGCTGTTGGGCTTTGTTGGTAATATATAGAAATGCCGATGATTTATGTGGGTTTATTTTATAGCCTGCAACTTTGCTAAAGTTGTTTATTATTTCAAGTGGTTTTTTACTTGATTCTCTGGGATTCTCTAAGTATAACATCATGTCATCTGCAAAGAGTGATAGCTTTGTTTCTTCTTTGCCTATTCTAATACCTTCAATGATTTTTTCTTCTCTTATTGCTAAGGCTAACATTTCCAATACGATATTGAATAAGAGTGGTGATAATGGACATCCTTGTTTCACCCCCAATCTTATTAGAAATGCTTCTAGCTTGTCCCCATTACATATTATGCTTGCTGAAGGTTTTAGACAGATGCTATTTATTATTTTAAGGAAGACTCCTTTTATACCTGTGCTTTCTAGTGTTTTTAATAGGAATGGGTGTTGTATTTTGTCAAAAGCTTTTTCTGCATCTATTGAGATGATCATGTGGTTTCTGTTAGTTTTGGTGTTGAAATGATGAATTATGCTGATAGTTTTCCTTATATTGAACCAGCTCTGCATTCCTGGTATAAATCCTCCCTGGTCATAGTGTATTATTCTTGTGATAAGTTGCTGTAATCTATTTCCTAATATTTTGTTTAAAATTTTTGCATCTATATTCATTACAGAAATTGGTCTATAATTTTCTTTCTCTGTCTTGATTCTTCCTGGTTTAGGTATCAGCACCATATTTGTATCATAAAAAGAATTGGTAAGATTCCTTCTTCACCTATTTTACCAGATAGTCTATATAGTATTGGAATTAATTGTTCTTTAAATGTTTGATAGAATTCACATGTAAATCTCTCTTCCTGGGGCCGCTTGCAGTACTGCCTCCCTTAGTTCTGCTGAGGCACTGGGAGACTCCTTTGCTGTAGAATGCCGGGGCACCTGGTGTTTTTCTGAGCTGGTTTCCACTGGTTCCCCCGCCCTCACTGCAGCACTCAGAAGTCCAGCTGTTGATGTTTGCCTACTCCATCACCTGGGCTTCGGGATCTCCTTCTAGTTGGCAGTTGGAGCCTGTAGGGTTCTGACAGCTTACCTGGTGTTGGACTGGAATCAACAATGCTGGAACTTTCGGGCAACTCTAGGTGCTTTCTTCAGCTCCTTTCAGATGAATGCTGCAGGGTGCTTATCCACCTGGGGCCCCTTGTAGTGCTGCTTCCCTTATTTTTGCTGAGGCACTGGGAGACCCATTTGCTGTGGAATGCCGAGGCACTAGAATCTCCTCCTGGTGTGCTAAAGTGGGTCTTTCCACTAGCTGGCTGGGTGATTCCCGGTTCCCTATTGCTCCACTTCCCCCAGGGTAAGAGGGGCCTTTCCCGTTAATCCCTCTAGCTACCTGGGCTACTGCACTGCTGCACCCTGTCTTTCTTCTGGTTCAGTTATTCCAGGGTTTTTTCTGGGGTGATATTTTCTGGGTTTTCAGAGGTTGATAGGGGAGGGTGAGAGCAACTACCTTTTTACTCCGCCATCTTGGCTCCCAGAAGTGGAAGCTGACAAGACTGAATCATGTCTGACTCTTCATGACCCTGTGGACCATAGAGTGTCAGGCAAATACTGTCTATGGGGTTTTCTTGGCAAAGATACTGGAATAGTTTGCTATTTCCTACTCCAGTGGATTGCCTTTTGTTATGTTGGTCCTTTATTTTTGTCTTTGATTTCCTTGGCC